CCACCGGGCCCTGGCGTTAGGATCAGTCGGGATGGTTCCTGCATATCGGACCCTCTCCACCACTGCTGTGCGGAAGCCATTTATCTGAGGAAAACAGACACTCTCCGAGTCCAGCCCACTAACGGCAGATTTTCAAAGCCAATAAGGAACCCTGGAGCTGGGTCAGGGGAAAATTCCCAGTGGAGGACCGCGTTTCCATTCTCCGAGTTCACCGGAAGCCAGGAGAGAAACCTTGGCAGCAACAGCTGAAGCTTACCTGCCCTGCTGACCCCCCAGTCCCTTCTCATTAACCTGCGCCCACTTGTTGGAGTCTCCAAGGCCTACACCCACTTAGCCACTTTCTCCCTCTCCAGAGCGTGGGGCTTTCAAAACCGTACCCCCGGGCGCCCCCTGGTGGCCACTGGGTGCTGGGGCCTCCTTGCCCCCAGGGCTGCTCCTAGAGCTGCTCCCAGAGTCACTCTCCTCAAACACAACCTCTGCCAGGCGCCCCTCCCTTCTTTCTCAAGGCTCCCTCTCCTCTCCGAGAGAGAGCCGAGACCATCCTCAGCAGCTTCTCTTTTCTCCTCGCCTACCTCCTCCTCTGGGAGGCTCAGAGGCAATTTTCTGTTCTTCCAAAAACCCTTGCTTCTCGCTATTGCCATCCCTGTCTCCACTGCCACCCCCAGCATCACTTACTACAAGGTATCTGCTGGCTTGCCCTTCCCCTCTCGCTTCCGGTTCACTCCCAGCCCCCTACCAAAATGGCTCTTCCAAGAGCACCAGTGACCTAACCACCAACGTCTAAGGCCATTTCCTGGGCTCTGTTCTTCTTCCCACTCTCCAGCCGGCCCTGGATTCTCCACTCCGGGACTCTTCCTTTTCCCGGGACCCCAGGATTGCGTCTGGCTTACCCCATGGGGCACCTACCCTGTAGCCTGGAGCTTCTTGTTTGAATGAAAACACCTGTTTCAAAGGCTCTCTTCCCCCTCAGGACTACATCAGCCTCGGGCGCGCAGGCCGGTAAGGGGTGTGGTCCCAGCCAGCTTGCTCGCATCCTCCCTGATCCCTTGCCCCCTAGTGATCAGATACAGACTTTTGCAACTGTCTCAGGGGTCTCCATGCATTTGCACGTGCTGTTTCCTCCGTCTGAAACGCCTCCCCGCCTACCTTTTCCCCACCCGCCACACACACCATCAGAGGCTCCACCCCGTTTCCGGGAGGCAGCTGTGCTCCTGAGCCTTCCCTGAGTGTTCTGTGAGCTCCACGACTCAGCAGCCGGCCTGACCTTGTGTCAGAAAAGCGCCCCGTGGCCCAGCACACAATCCACCCAGGTTCTCTCTTCTGGCCTTCTCTCTCTGCGCTGCCTCCCTCTGAAAATCCACTTCGTTTCCTAGTTTCCATTTGCCACGGAATTCAACAGAAATGCCCTGGATGCCATGCTGCAGGCACCCGACTGGCTAACGCTCAGCGTCCTTACACCTCAGGTCTTCTGAACCCGGGCCCGTGCTCCTGGCTGGTCACCGGACGAATATTTCCTGCACATCTTTCTGGGGCCTTGCTTCTCCAGTCACATTCCCTGTGGACCCCATGCTCCTCGTCCACTCAGAAGGCTTTGATAGAGCAGATCATCCTCTGTACCGTTATCAGCTGAAGTCCTTAAAAGAAAAAAAAAAAAAAGGACTTGCCTGGCTGTTTGGCTCGTGAATAGAGTGTTGGCCTGCGGACTCAGGGGTCATGGGTTCGATTCTGGTCAGGAGCATGTACCCGGATTTTGGGCTTGATCCCCAGTGGGGGGGGGGGGGGCGTAAGGGGGGCAGCCGATCAATGATTCCCTCTCATCATGGATGTTTCTGTCACTTTCTTCTGTTCCCTTCCTCTCTGAAATCAATAAAAATTTTTAAAGAAAGAAAGGAAGGAAGGAAGGAAGGAAGGAAGGACGGACTGAGGTCTCTGGAGGAAAAGGGAATTCTGCCTGCTATCCACCTTTGAATTCAAGTTGCAATATCACCTCTCCCGTGGTTCTGTTTCTCTGGAGAACCCTGCACAATAGGTCCTATCTCCTGACTCAGCTTCCTGCCCCTGTACTCACTGCACTCCAACCGCACTCCAGCGATGCTCACTGATTCTCTCGTGAAGTTCATTTGCCAGCAACCATCCCTGCATCCCGTTGTTTATTGATTGACAGCTGTGTCCCCTAAACCTCCGTGTGTACGTATCTTCACCATGCTCTTGGACTTGAGCTTTCAAGGTCCCCGCTGTACAACTACTTCTTTTATATTCTCCCTTATATCAACCCTTCTCAGGGATGTTTGCATTTTGTCGGGAATCCACAAGTTTTAAGATGAAAAGCTCTCGCGGCTATAGTGTGGGTCTCCATCCAACGGGGAAGAGCCATGTTTGTGGAACTAGACTTTCCTAGGTCCCGGAAACCACACAAGCGGGGCCTCCTGACCTGCAGCTCAGTTTGTAGGATGCTGAGGCCCATGCAAGACTGGGAGGCAGGGCAGACCTGACACCCGTCTGGGCTCATCGCTGCGGAGGCGGTGCCTTCAGGCAGCCCGCCGCTCCGGCTGCGGATGCAGTGAGGCCTGTGAGGGCCAGCTCTGCCCACTGCTGGGCGTGGGGGCCGTGAGAGGGAGGAGAAAAGAGGGCAGGAGACCGCCCATCCAAAGTGTGCATACTGTGCTCCTCGTGTTTGAAAACGGCCCATTTCAATAACCTCTACCACGTCTGTTCTGAGGGAAACACCAGAAAGAAATCGGGCCGAAACCGGTTTGGCTCAGTGGATACAGTGTCAGTCTGAGAACTGAGGGGTCCCAGGTTCGATTCCAGTCAAGAGCATGTACCTTGGCTGCAGGCACATCCCTGGCAGGGGGGTGTGCAGGAGGCAGCTGGTCGATGTTTCTCTCGAATCGATGTTTCTAGCTCTCTGTCCCTCTCCCTTCCTCTCTGTAAAAAAAAATCAAGAAAATATATTTTAAAAAGAAAAAGAAAAATGGGCAGTTTCTCAATTTAAAATGTAGGAAGGAAGGAAGGAAGGAAGGAAGGAAGGAAGGAAGGAAGGAAGGAAGGAAGGAAGGAAGGAAGGAAGGAAGGAGGGAAGGAAGGAGGGAAGGAAGGAGGGAAGGAAGGAAGGAAGAAATCAGTAGTTCTCCCCTCTGGCCATACGAAATGACCTAGTCACTTGGTGTGAGAAACACAGCAGTTGATTCACGGTGTTGTGACCCTCTTGTCATGCTGGTTCCCTTTTTCCCGTCCTAAACAACACCACAGCCCGTGGGGAGGACGGAGAGAGAGGAGCCCCTGAGGAACCTGTAAGTACACTTCCAGAATAATCTTATGTTTGAAATTGCCTTTTTCTTTCCTCCCCCCTCCCCTCAAGAAAAAGTTGAATATTAGTACATCAGAATCAACCATGGAGGCCAGGGGATGTTTTCACCCCCTCCTCTGCCCCTGACAGCTCCCCTGCCTGCAAAATGGCCAGGAAGGCTTTGTCATGCTGGCTGGGGATTGGAATGCCCTCATGGCAGGGCAGAGCTCGGCATGAATATCCTCTTGACACAGGAGCTTGGGGTGACCGAAGCGTCTTCCCAGCCTCTGAGGGAAGTGATGGCTGTGGGCCCAGCGCTGGTGGGGCGGGGGTGAGGCCAGGGCTGCCCGCCTCGGACAGCGCCCCCCGCCGGGCACAGATGGGCCCACCGAGCTGCCCCGTGAACGTCCTGTCTGCCCGGCAGCGCCCATTAATCCTCCCTTGCCCATGTGAAGGCTGCTTTCCCAGAGGCGGGCGCTTGCTGGCTTTCTCAAGGCAAAGGATGATGATGAAAACCACGTTCTGAGGGACTCACCCCGCCTCAGACGGGCGCCTGCTCCAGCTATTTTGGCAGGCTGGGAGAACAGGACGTCCACAACCAAATGATAAGTTTGCAAGAATTTAAAAAAAAAAAAAAAAAAAAAAAAAAAAAAAAAAAAAGAGAGAGAGAGAGAGAGAGAGAGAGAGAGAGAGAAAGAAAAAGGACAAGAAATGCTTTATTCTTCTTTTTGCCCCAGTTGCGGGCGCGGGACTGCTGTGAACACCAGCACCCAGGGCCGGCACTGCCGCTCCTCCCTCCTTCACTCATTTCAGAGGCTGCCGGGCAGCAGGAACCTTAGAGCCGGGCCAGCCCGAGGGGGGCTGAGGTCTGGAGGGGCGATGTGGCCTGGCCAAGGTCACACAGCCCGCTCTGGGGGGAGGCAGACTGGAGCACAGGTCTCCCTGCCGATGCCCCTTTCCTGTTCCTCTCTGTCCTTCGCCCGCCTTCCCTTTCCAACGACCGGCATCTGGAGAGAGGCTGGTGGGTTCGGACGGGGCTCCCCCGGGGGCTCGGCACAGCGGGAGCACCTCCGGAATAGAGGGCGTTCCTGTCTGGGTGTATCCCCCCAGCTGTCTGCAGACTCTGGGCGTGCTGAGCAGAAGCCAAGGGCGCGTGCATGGGCGCAGGGGCAGAACGAGCTGGTCTCGCTTCGTGGAGATTTCGGGATGTCAGTCAAGGTCCGGGACGGGGGAGCATTAGGGCGGCTCCCGGGACCCTCCTCTCCAAATGCTTGCGATTGGCTGTGCCTCTTCAACGTCCCCCTGTCTAGAGGCTCCGGGTGCGCCATCCACTCGGAGGTCCTGGGTGTTCTCTCAGGGCCCACGTGCAACGGCTGCTGACGGGGCCTCGTAGGGGAGGCAAGGGGGGAGGGGGTTCTTTGCGAGCTGATCGGTGCTCAAAGGCTGGTGCTTGGGAATGTCGGTGCCCTTGGCTCCCTAACAACGTGGGTGACTTTGAGGGTGGGCGTGGTGGCTGGGAGCCCATGCCCTCCATGCCCGGGCTTTTGTTCCCGCCACGGACATCCCGCCCCGGGGGGAAAACACTCAAACCCACTGTGCACGCACCTCCCAGCGTGTGCACGCACCTCGCAGCGGCTGTCCGCTAGCATGTGCAGGCTTGATGGAGGAGCTTGGCCACTTCTGTTTCCCATGGCAACAGCTCAGCCCCGCGTGAAAGCAGATACGTGTGCACTCAGGCTGGAGACAGGCCTGTCCCTCCTCATCAGCCCTGTCCCTCCTTCTCTTGCTTCCTTGCACTCAGCCACACCGAACAGCCTTCACCCTGTGAGAGAGAGCTGGGCCTCAGCTTGTGATTCTCTCCTGTGGACTCCGGCGTGGTTCCCTCCCTCCACCCCCCTGGCCCCCGACTGCCCTGGGGTGCAAAGTGCAGGTGAGAGATCGAGGCAGGAAAGTGGTAATTACTCTGGGATCTGCCGTTGGTAAAAGCAAAAAGCAGGTATTTGATGCCCGGGAGACGAGGATGTTGAGTCAGGCAATCAGCATCATTGGTCACGGAGGCGACATAAAGAGAAGCTGTGGGTTCAAGGGACCCGGTGAGCCATTCAGAAGCCGCTGGAAGAAGAAATGGAGAGGGGGGAGGGCCTCCAGCCAGCAGCACAAGGGAAGTGAGTAAAATAGAACCGGAGCTTTTGGGGCAAAAATAAATATTCCCAAGGCTCAGAGGAAACGCTTTCTGCATGAGGCTGGAAACTGGCCTGCAGCGTGATTTTAAAACGTCCCCAGGGCAAAAGCGGGGCGGGCAGTGCAGATCGGCGGAGAGGAGGAAGGATAGGTGCGGAGGGAGGCCGAGCAGAAAGAAGACGAAGCAATGTGAGGATTCCCTAAAGGCCACGGGCTGCAAACTGGCCAACGGTGGACACAGTCAGCCAGTGTGTTTAAAAATAATTTGAGCCTACTAAAACACACACACACACACACACACACACACACACACAAACAACCCTCAGATGTCACCCAGAAAATCTGGCAACTAGACAAGCTTGTCTCTGTACAGCCTGGAAGAAAATTGCTTGGGGGGGGGGGGGGAGGAAGGGGAGGAAGAAAGGGGAGGAAGGGGGCTGCTGCTCTCGGAGCTGACCCTGGGGCCCAGGCTCTCCACTGCCCACCGCCTCATATCCCTCACCCCAAAAAATATCTGTCTCCTGATGTCCTTCCCTCCAAGGCGCCTGTGTGAGCCCTGCAGGCACCTGCGATGCTCAGTGCTGCCCACACGGCTCTGGTGTTTCAGTACAGGAAGCGCTCAATAGAGCTGGGGCCAACCCCGAAGGCCCCTCCCACCCCCGGCCCTGGGACAGATGGCTCGGTTAAGAAGAAGGCTCTGCAGCCTGGACCTCAGACCGGGGCGGGCCTGCCCCCAGGATGGAGACCTGCAGCCAATTGAGGGCTTGGGGAGTGGGCTGGCAGGGAGGAGGAGGGCGCCGGATGCAGATGACAGCCAAGGGAGAGCTTCTGCCGGCATTGCTGCATCCCCATCTCAGGATGCATGCGTGACTGGGATTCTGGGGATGTGTTTCAACCAAATTTAGAAGATCCTCTTTCAGGATCATGTGAAAGAGGGTCTGAGAAGCTGCCCGTCTGGAACCTTCAGTGTCACTTAAACATGGGTTAGAATCTTGGCTCTTCCACTTAGTCTGTGTGACCTTAGGCAAATTTCTTAACCTCTCTGAGCCTCACTTTCCTTATCCTATATAATAAAAAGGGAATATGCTAATTGACCATCATGCTCTCACAAGATGGCGGCACCCACAGCCACAAAATGGTGGCGCCCAGGCCCCTCAGCACCACCTCATCCAGCCAGAGTCCCCTAGTCCCCTCAGCCCTGCTGAGGGGAAGGCAATTGGGGGCAATCAGATAAGCAGGGGAGGGCCATTGGGGATGATCATGCTGGTGGGGGAGCAGTTAAAGGGCTATCAGGCAGGCAGGCAGGTGAGTGGTTAGGAGCCAGCAATACCAGATTGTGAGAGGGATATCCAATTGCCAGTTAAGGCCCGATCCAATCCCTGAGGGGTCCCAGATTGGAGAGGCTGCAGGCTGGGCTGAGGGACCACCCCAACCCCCCCCGCCCCCCCCCAATAAGCATGAATTTTGTGCACTGGGCCTCTAGTCTAAAATATTTTGAAGATTAACAATAATGTGTATTAGGCGTTAAAACAGTGGCCAGGCACCCAGTCAACAAACTTGCTGTCTATGACGATTACTCTTAAACTAATTCTTGGACAGAGGCACAGGCTACAGGTTGTTCCCTTTTCCACTTCGGTATTTGGTGGAACCTGAAAGCAAATTTGTTGTGTGGGAAATTTTGCTCCATTTAGCTCGGGAACCCTGTGAAGGCTTTTTAAACGGGGCTGGTGAAAAGTCAGCCGTGAGACGTGGATGTGCTAGGAAGCATGCCACCGATGGAGCAGAACTCGGGGCTCAGTCCCAGCTCACCCCCAATTCCAGGACGGCCGGGCCAGTCCCTTCGCCTGTTCCACTTCCTCCCCGTGGTCACCAGCCGGCCAGGCGTCCGTGCTCAGCCACAGGAGACGGCTCACGTGACAATTAATTAAAACTACGGAGAGTTAGAAACTCACCCCAGCTGCACTAGCCCTGTGTCGAGTGCTCAGTCATTTCAAGTGGTTAGTGGCCACCGGGCTGCACTGCGCAGACCTAGAGCATTCTCTGGTCGCAGAAAGCATGAGGGGACAGAGCTGGTCCCGGAGCTGCTGTCCTGGGCTGGTCCCCGCTGAGCAGCATCACTGGAAGGCAGACTCTCAGCTGCCGTGCTAGACCTTTGGAACAAAAACAAACAAAACAAAACAAACAAACAAAAAAAAAATTAGGAGTCTGGGGATCTGCTTGAAAACATCGTTGAGAAAGAAATAAAGAAGCACCTTGTCCAAACCCCGGTTCCCTGGTTAGAGAAAGAGGGGAGGACCGGGCCGTGTGGAGGAAGACGATGAGCAGCCGGATGGCTGCACCTGCTCAGGAGTGAGAGGGAGCCGCCTGCAGGTGTCTGAAGGGACATGTGGCCATCCATGTTGGTGTCCTTTGGTGCCATGCTGTTTTCAGCACAGAAGCAAAGGGCATGCTACTAGAGCTGTTGCTTGTTAAGAAAACAGGTGCCTCTTGCAGGACAAAATTGCACTCCTCTATCTTATTTAATTGGTATTAGATTGTATTGCTGAGTGTTCACATTTTTACGTGTCCATAAATCTGCTTCTTACTTTCAGAAAAAGAAAAAATCTGTATTAAGAACAAACTGTATGAAAGGAGTGGGAAAAAATGAATCCAAAATGGTACATTCTTCATTTTTAGGAAGCAAGCAAAATGGTGCCTCCTAAGGGGTAAGACTAAGAACAATAAAACAGCTGGGACTGGACTTCAGATTTGCTTTAGGGAAAAGGCTGCTGGTTTGAGATGTATCCTTACGGAGCCAACGGTGTTGACGAGAGAGAAAGCGATGAGCAGACAGAGGTGGGGCTGTGGCCCTCAGGTCGGCTGTGGGGTGTGTCTGCAGCAGGCACGCGGTGGGCTGAGCAGCCTGTCACGTAACCGAGTCGTGGAATCCAGGCACGATGCAGGGGACGGGGAGCAGCCAGCCAGGAGTCAGGGGGAGCCGGTCTGAATCCCGCTCGGCCACCCGCTCTCTGTGGGGGCGCTGACCCATTTCAGGGAGCTCGCTCGGCCTCCGTGTCCCTGGGTGACCGCCTGCCTCCAGAGGCGGCAGGCAGATGCTGTAGGTGAGATGCCTGGGACACAAGAAGCAAGTGGCACCGGTTAGTGTGTCATTCAAATCATGGTTCGGGTCAAACCCAAAGCCAGGACAAAGAGAGAGAACAGGGCCGGAACCGGTTTGGCTCAGTGGATAGAGCGTCGGCCTGTGGACTGAAAGATACCAGGTTCGATTCTGGTCAAGGGCGTGTACCTTGGTTGCGGGCACATCTCCGGTGGGGGGCTATGCAGGAGGCAGCTGGTCGATGTTTCTCTCTCATGGATGTTTCTAGCTCTCTATCCCTCTCCCTTCCTCTCTGTAAAAAGTCAATAAAATATATTTTAAAAAGAGAGAGAGAACAGGGACACACCTAGGAGGAGAGGCAGCCGCTCCTGACCTGCTCCGGTGTGGGTAGCCCTGCCCCGCCCCGCTCACTGCTGACCGCTGGGGTCCCCCTGCACACCCATGCAGGGAAGCAGGTCTCGCTTGGACCAGTGATGCTGCGAGAGAGTCAGGGGAACAGGGGCCCATCAGCGAGTTCAGGGTCAGAGAGGTCTGGGAGGGGACGGTACATGGAACACTGCCAGCCTTCACGCCAACCCCAATTCCGGATGGAACAAGCTTTCGGGACAAAAGAACGGCACGCCTTTGCTGGTCCCCATTCTAACGACCGTTCCAATTCCCTTTCCTCTGATGAAGATCGTTCTCTGGGAGCATCTCGAACCTCTGATAAGGCCAGTTCCACGTGGCAAGGCCTTTCTTCAGCACTTCCTTTCTCCCCATACCGCTCTTCTGTGCTGAGCGCTTCCGTGCAGATGAAGTGACGGGAGCTGCAAGCCCTCTAGATTAGGGGTGTCGAACTCAATCAGAGAAGGGGCCAAAATCTAAAATCCAGCCTAAATCGCGGGCCGAATGGTTTACTGAACAGACATAAACTGTCATTGTGATGGAAACGCAGCGGAGTGCAGTGATGACAGCGCGGGTGCGGGCCACATTGCAAGGCCTGGCGGGACGGATTTGGCCCGCGGGCCTTGTGTTTGACACATGTGCTCTAGATGATGGCTGGAGAAACTGCCCCCCCCCCCCGTTGTTTCTAACGGGCCTCTGTCCCCATCTCCTTCCTGCCCTCCATTAACCCCACTTAGCCTGAACCCAGACGGGGAATCATTTCCTCACCTCAGTGGGCTCAGTTCACGCCCTCTAAGCAAGCAGGATGCCTCTTTCACACTCCCAGTGGAAGTCACTGGCTCAGACATATTGAGATTCTTCATAAATACAGCCCCATCCTATTGCATGGGAGAAGAGATTTTTATCTATCTATCTATCTATCTATCTATCTATCTATCTATCTATCTATCGAAGAGTGCTTTAAAATTGATCAATGTCTCCATTCAAACCCCATACATATGGTATAATGCTCATTAATGCTCTTTAGATAATTTATGTCAATCAAGAAACATCTCTAACTGATTTCGTATAGTTCCGAGCGAGCCCAGGTTTGTCACAGACCTACATCTGCATGATGGACAGGGTGGTAGCAACCCCATCGCACCTTCCTTTTAATTACGCCAGATCTTGGGGAAAAGAAAAGATAATTAACTCAGTGACAAAATCTTCTTGTTTCTCTTACAAGAGTCTCGGGGGAGAACTGTGCTCACCGGTAGGGGCCGGACGGGGAGACCCAATGGTACAGAGCAGAGATACCGTGGCCTCAATCCAACCCCATGTTGAAGATGCGCTTGATATGCCTTCTGGTCTGCAAAGAGAGCACAGAAAACAGATGGCTACCAAAAAGTGACCATGCATAGTGCTGTTTATTGATTTCAGACTGTCCATCGGCCTATGTTGGCCAACTCATTAGTCAACAGAGCCAAATATCAACAGTACAACAACTGAAATTCTTTTTGAGAGCCAAATTGTTTAAACTTAAACTATACAGTTAGGTACATGGTTATTAACTTAATTAGGGTACTCCTAAGCTGGCCTTTGATAAAAACTCAAGGGGCCAAAGAGCCGCATGTGGCTCAAGAGCCACAGTTTGCCGACCACTGGCCTAGGCTTTGTTTCAACCTTTAAGACCCATTGCTGCTTTTATCAAGTAACAAGCACTGGCGAGCCAAGCAGCACAGAATTTATTGTAGTAGCTTAAAATAAGTAAACATTTGTTATTGTTGTACCCGTTTCTGTCATCAGCCTGAGGACTGGCTGGGGGACTAGCTGGTCTAGGGTGGTCTGGCAGTTAGCTACCTATTGGCTGAGTTGAGGCAGTAGATTGGTCATATGTTCCTCATTATCCAGCAGCCCAACCCGTATGCCTCCTGCATGCCCACACTGGGAATCAAGCCCACAATCCGGGCATATGCCCTGGCCGGGAATCAAACCGTGACCTCCTGGTTCATGGATTGGTGCTCTATCCACTGAGCCATGCCAGCCAGGCCATTTCTCTCATGTCTTGATGGGAGAACCTGGAAAGTCACATTGCAAGGGGTGTAGGGACCAAGAAGGGCAAAGAATTATAGCCTTACCCCCGTGGCCTTTACAAGGCGACAGAGGATGTTCAAAAGCAACATCTGACCCCCGTCTCTTTCTCCTTTCCAGGGTCACAGCGAGCATGGGGGTCTGGAGCTCGGGCACCCGTCTCTTCCTACGTCTTTGGGGGCTGTACGTGTCCCCCAGAAGCCCTGGACGGGTGGACTTCCTCCAACATTTGGGAGTTTGCTCTTTGGTTGCGTTGGGTTTGGTGGGCCTCCTCTCGGCGGCCTTCTCCTGGTTCCTGTCCTCGTTCACAGTCTTCACCGTCTCCTGGGGGGCCGCCTGGGTTCTGCTGGGCTGCTCCAAGCACGCGAGGTGCTTCGTGGTCCTCTTCTTCCTCTCCTGCGGCCTGCGCGAGGGCAGGAACGCCCTGATCGCCGCCGGCACCGGCATAGTCATCCTGGGGCACGTGGGCAACGTCTTCCACAACTTCAGGGGGCTCCTGGACAGCATGACGTGCAACATCAGGGCAAAGAGCTTTTCCATCCACCTGCCCCTTTTGCGAAGGTACGCGGAGGCCATCCAGTGGATCTACGGCCACGCCCCTCGCCTGGATCTGTTCGACGGCCTCGTGTCCTGGAACCAGACCCTGTCGGTCTCTCTTTCCAGCCCCAGCCAGACCCTGGAGGCGCAGCTCAAGGACACGAAGGGCCAGGTCGTGGGGGTCTTGTACCAGATGGTGACGGCGACCGAGGTGCTGTCCTCCGTCGGGCGGCAGCTGCTGGCCCTCGTGGGGCTCCTGCTGGTGCTTCTCGGCACCGGCCTCTTCATGAAGCGATTCCTGGACCCCCGCGGCGGCCGGAAGTTCGAGAACACCTACATCACCCGACAATTCGTTCGGTTCGACGAGGGGGAGAGGCACGGGCAGAGGCCCTGCGTCCTCCCGCTGAGTAAGAAGGAGAGGAGGAAGTACATCGTCATCCCATCCTTCGGGCTGACGCCCAGAGAGAGGAGGAACCTGGGGCTGTTCTTCCTCCCGGTACTCACCCATCTCTCCCTCTGGGTGCTGTTCGCAGCCATCGACGTTCTGCTCTACCGGCTCCTTTTCTCAGTGAGCAGACATTTCCAAAACCTGCCGTCACTGGAAGTTCACTTGAAACTGCACAGGGAGGTAGGCCCGCCCAGGCCCTGGCGGGGGGTATCCTGGCTCTTGGCTGGGCTGTTGGAAATGATCACGCATCTCCCCAGGCAGGGAGGGCAGTGTCTGACCCCTTTGGGGTCTCCGGCGCCTGGCACAGTGCCTCCCACGGAGAAGGAGCCCGTCAGAGGCTGGGTAAATTGAATCCCTGCGTTAGAATCTATCATTCTGAACGTTTTGGGTCAGAGTTAGTTTCCTGTGGCTGCTGTAACAAGTCACCACAGAACGAGTGACTAACACAACACAGATTTCTTCTCTCTGGTTCTGGGAGCCGGAAGTCTGACATCTGTGTCCTGGGCTGAAACCAGAGGCGCTGGCAGAGTACACTCTCTTCAGACTCTAAGGGAGATTCTACTCTTTGCTTCTCCCAGCATCTGGTGGCCGCTAGCATTCCTTGGCTTGTGGCTGCATCACTCCCTCTGTCTTCACATCGCCTTCTCTCTCTCTCTCTCTCTCTCTCTCTCTCTCTCTCTCTCTCTCTCTCTCTCTTTCTCTCTCTCCCCCCCCCTTCTCCTTCTCAAAGGATGCATATGATTGCCTTAGGGTCACCAGGACAATCCAGCATAATTTCTCCATCTCAAGGTCCTTAACGGGATCGCATCTGCAAAGTTCCCTCTCGCCCAGATTATCCACATTTACAGATTTGGGGATTAGAATCCTATGTCGTTGGGAGGCCATTTCCTGCTTCTGATAGTCAAGAGACACTGAAATGTGGGAACAGGGGTCTCTGGTGGAGCATGAAGCTGATTCCTGGAATGAACCTGACCAGTCAGATGTAGGGCCTGCCTTCCTCTCTCTGCAGACTCGCTGTGCATGCAGACTGCGCGTGCCTTCTCTGAATGAGGTAATCAACATATATATATATATATTTACACTAGTGACCCAGTACACGAAATCTGTGCACATTAAAAGGGGATTATTTAGAGGAAATAATTTAATATTGCTTTTTGACTTTTCTCTATAACAGAAGTGTCAGAGATGAAAGAAAATTAGTAAAATTTATATGAAAACCTTCCTCCTGTCAGAGTCTGGGGCACACCACAGGACCCAGAGTCAAGTCCCCACCCACACCCATGCACCTCAAAATTGCGTGAGACACAGACCCAGCCACACACCCCACCCCAGGGTGGGGGCCACGGCCTGAAGTCTCCTGTCAAGCCCCACCTGGTGGTGGGGTGCAGCCTGAGGTCCCCCGGCCTGGTGCTGGGGTGGGGAGAGCAGCCTGAAGTCCCCTAGCCCAGCACCAGGCCAGGAAGCGCACCTTGAGGTCCCCCTCAATTCCCCTAGACGGGCAGGGGGCGTGGCCTCAGGGGGCGCCTGCAAACCTTTCTTTGAAGCCCCACTTTCCATGTCTCTCTCTCTGGGCTCGGATCCCCCTCCTGCACCACACTTTCTCACCCCTTTCCTTCCGGCTGAGCAAGGCCATCCGGACTCCTGCCCCTCCTCACCCTGGGCTGCTTCTCAAAGGTGATTACTCTGAACACTCTGCATCCCCTGAAGAATCCAGTTAATTATGAGAACGCTGCTGCTCCAGATATCTGCAGCGGAGTGGATAATGGAGCTTTTCACACAGGCTTGGTCCTGGGGGTGGCTAGTCAGAGCCTCTGCCCTCCCCTCCCCCCTCCATGAGCTTCCTGTTCCTCTTTTTATTTTTTAAAAAATATTTCTATTGACTTCAGAGAGGAAGGGAGAGGGAGAGAGAGAGAGACACATCAATGATGAGAATCATCGGTTGGCTGCCTCTTGCATGCCCCCAACCAGGGACTGAGCCCACAACCCGGGCATGTGCCCCGACCTGGAATCAAACCGTGACCTCCTGGCTCATAGGTCAACACTCAACCACAGAGCCACTCTTCTCAGTTCTCCCTCTCCTCACCTCTCTTTTTCCTTATCTCTCATTTATTTCTCTCTCAGTCAACACCCATGCCTGTTTTGTGAGTGCCCGCCATTTTAGACAGAATGGGACTGGGGGCGTATATTCAACTTCTACCTTTGGAAGATGGCCCAGAAGCTCTCCAAGGACAACGTCCTCACAAACACAGTCTTGGGTTTCTAGACCCTGATGTCTGCCATGGAGGAGCCCACGTCCTGGGGGGGTTGGGGGGAGAGGCCACCAGGTCCACTCTCAGTGACAGCAGGACAGTGGGCGCTGGACCAGGTGTGAGTGCCTGGGACACTCTGCTGCCAGCACCTTCCTGAGCCTGGCAGTGCCCTGCCCTTACCTCAGGAAGCCCTTGGAGGCTCCTGGTCCCCCCACCCTCATTGCTGCAGATTTTCAAAGGAGAAGTCAAGCAGGAAGAGAGACAACAGCTCAAGGTTTTGCCAATATGTCTCTCCCACTTTCCATACAATTTTATAATAGATAAAGAAGAAAGAGGGGAGAAGGGGGGAGGAGGAAGAAGGGGGAGGGTGGGAAATGACCTGAACTGAGCTAGCGGGATGAGTGTGCATTGTAAGAAAACATAGCCATAGCTGCTGGTCCTTGAGCACCTACTATGTGCATAGCATTCGTCTGGATTAACTTTTCAGGACTGTCTGACGCCAGAATAGGTTCTCTGTCCATGACTCAGTGCTGTCTTGGCAAATTGTTTACTTAGGAGAGGTAAACGCATTTTAAAGCATCAGGGTACCATTCAGTCTATGGCTCGGGATTTTGAGAGAGTTCGTTTGTCTTCCACAGTACCCTCCACCAACCCTGTGCAACAATGTTGGCTCCATCTTTATGAAGCCCTGAATCCCAACTGCAAAGTCTCCCCTTAGACTCCCAGACGGAATAGCGTCTCCCCAGAGCGAGCACCCGCTGCTTTCTTCTTGCAGGATTTCTCATCACTGACTCAGTCGATGTGTTTGTTTCTTCCGTCGTTTTAAAAACAGCGCCTGCCTTTGCTCTGGGGATGGAAATCGCCGCATCTAATTGTAGGCAAGTGATCTTAATAAGAGAGAAGGAGAGGCAACGCAAACACCTTTCATTGCTTAGCCACGGCGCTGGGGAGATCGCTGATTTCACCTCACATTTGTATAGTGGTCCCTGGTGTGGGGTTTCCAGGTTCTATTCGGGTATTAGAGAAGATCCAAGGTGCATGGTGTCCTCGAGGTGTGGTTGGATCTTTTTTGAGAAGCTATTTACCTCTTCCCGGCCCCAGGACTCTGGGGGACAGGGGTGATAATCACTGACTAAGTACTGCAGTCTGTTAGGTTAATGCTCCATCCCCGAGGTGCCTCATTTACACTGGGAGTAGTTTATTCACGGGCGGGCTCTGGTCCATTAGTTCCTGTTTCACCAAATTAGAAAACAAATCCGCCGAGAGATTAAATGACTTTCTCAGGTCAGGGCAAAGAGGAAGAGCTGAGTCAGCGCCCACTTCTCCTGCCGGTGGCTTGGCCGGTTGTTCAATGTCATCTTCTGTCCTCCTGTCACTGGCTGAGGGGGACGGATTCCTTCTCTTGCCTTCAAGCAGGAAGGAATGCACCTCTCCTGAGCATCCAAGAAATAAGAAAATGTCCTTATGTTGAGACCTCTAAAAATAGGATTATAGAGCCACTTTCGGTAAAACCTATTCTTGGTATTATTATACTAAGGATAATCTCCCCTACCCCCCATGCTCTAGAATAGGGGTGTCGAACTCAATCAGAGAAGGGGTCAAAATCTAAAATCCATCCTAAATTGCAGGCCGAATGGTTTACTGAACAGTCATAAACTGTCATTGTGATGGAAACGCAGCGGAGTGCAGTGATGACAGCGCGGTGCGGGCCACATTGCAAGGCCTGGCGAGACGGATTTGGCCCGCGGGCCTTGTGTTTGACACATGTGCTCTAGGATATTGACTTAGAACATCTTTTAATGCCTCTACAGCTTTGTGATCTTGTGGTCCGATGGCGAGGGTATGACTGGGTCTTAAGGGGCTACACTCCAAAAGCCTTCACCCCCAGCTGAGCTAAAACCATCTTTCATGAATCCCACTTGCCGTCAGGTGTAGACACAGGTGCTCCATAGAAACCAGTTATGTGGCCAAAACCGGTTTGGCTCAGTGGATAGAGCATCAGCCTGTGGACTGAAAGGTCCCAGGTTCAATTCCTGTCAAGGGCATGAATCTTGGTTGTGGGCACATCCCTGGTAGGGGGTGTGCAGGAGGCAGCTGGTCGATGTTTCTCTCTCATCGATGTTTCTAACTCTCTATCCATCTCCCTTCCTTTTTGTAGAAGATCAATAAAATATATTTTAAAAAAACAGTTATGTGATCACATAGGGAAGGCTCACTGCTGGCTGAAGTTGAACAGATTTCCCCGCCCTCTCCAAAGTAGGGACAAGTAGTCAAGTTCTTTAACACCCACTTTCAAGTAAACCTATGTTTCCACAAACCCACTTTGGAAAGCGCTGCAGTAGCTACAGATAAAGCTCAGCCCTTCACCTTTCTCCAGCGCCAGCACACAAAAGGGGCCACGGCAGCTTCTTCTGCCAAAGCTTCCTGCCTGTTTTAAGACAAATGATATGTGTTGCAGGGCAGCATCAAGAACGATGAGGAATGAATGTGAAATGGCATGGATCTTGATGATTCTATTCTTTCCTTTCAGGAGCAAGGAACTCAAAACATCATCCATGACTCCCCCTTTAAGGTAGCTCTCTTTGAACCCAACTGCATCCCTAAACCCACGCTCCTTCTGTCTGAAACCTGGGCTCCTCTCAGCATTATCCTTGCGATACTCGTGGTGCTCGGACTGTTGTCCTCCTTCCTGATGCAACTTAAAATCCTGGTGTCGGCATCCTTCTACCCAAGCGCGCAGAGGGAGCGCATCCTGTACCTGCATGCAAAGCTACTGAGGAAAAGATCAAAGCAGCCAGCAGGAGAAGAAAAAGGGCAGCTGAGTCTGTACTTTACAAAGGTAAGGCCAAGATGAGGGTATACCTGTAATGAAGGACATTCTGAGTTTGAAGGACAAAGTGGAATTTCAAAGCACTCTTCAACTTCACACGAGGGTTATAGTCCCAATAATAGATGGGACTGGGACACCAGAGGAAGCGGGGGGAAGAGGGGGAGAGAAATTAACAGATACACATGGCCAAGTCTCCCAGCTTTGTGATTTTTAAGTGTTGGTTCTAGAGGATTCTACAAGATCTCCTCAAAACACTGATTTCAACTGAGTGTGTTCAATCATATTGTAGAGAGACTATTGGGATGGCCCTTTGTAATAGCTGTTAAAGAACAATGCCTAACAAGAAGTTACTTTACCAGGTCAAGGAAAGATAAATAACATCGAGGGAAATAGCTGCTACAGAATCTAAAAATCTACACTAATAAAAGAGAAAAATGCTAATTGACTGTACTTTTGCTACGCCCACAGCCAATCAGAATGAGTGTGCAAATTAACCCAACAAAGATGGCTATTAATTTTCATATGCTGAGGGAGGGAGGAGGGAAGACTGAAGACAGCTTAGAAGGAAGAGGGAGGAAAAGCAGAAAGCAAGATGATGGCTGCCAGAGGGAAAGCATGGGCAGGGCGTGGTGTGGTGGCGCGATCACAGAAGGTGGAGTTGGCGGCGGTGGCAGCAGGTGCAGCTGCTTGCAGGAATCTTCTTGCAACGGGCTCCTAGTATATATATAAAATACATATATATGATGATACATATGATATACATGTATGTTTATACACACATATATAAGATTTTACTTAAGTTGTTGATTAAAAAAAAATAAGTTGGTGATTAAAGAGGAAACAGTAAAAGAATTCCAACCAACTCTAAGCACACACGTAGACAGGCCATCAGGAATACCAAAATGGGACTTGCTTCAGAGACACGAGACTGATTTCTTCCCCGAGGGCAATGGGAGGGCCAATCACACGCTACAGGGTAAGATGTATTTGCAGGTCCGGGACCAGAATCGTTTATTTGCGTTGTTGCTCTCAGCTCTCTGCAATGTACACAAGAGGAGAAGACTCACAGGCGATAAAAGACGCAGGAAACCCACAAGGATACGTTTTTTTCTGTCCACGTCCAAGTCTTCTGCAGTTTTTCCTGACGGCAGGAGCCCCATGAGGAGGCGTTTATGTCAGAGGCATTCGAAAGGACTCTAACGCTCACTCGTCCACCTTTTTGTCTCCTCAGATTCATTTCTGGCTCCCGGTCCTGAAAGTGATTAGGAGGAAACAAGTGGACACTGCAGGGGAAAGCAATCCGTGAGAGGCCCCCGCGGTCGGCCGAGGCCGCACCGCTCAGGTCCCAGGTCCCTGGCCGCGGTCACCACTCCCGCCCGCATCAGAGATCTATACCTCATGGTCCTTCAGGGGCCTGGGCTTGGGGGGCAAACTACCTTTCTTCATGAGGGCCATGGTCTATCAGGTCAGCCTTTTTCTACTCCCTCTGAGGATAAATCTCAGCATTGAGTAATATTTAAAGAAAAACAGGGGAAAAAATAAACATCTCTACTGCAGGTTCACAAGCAAATGCTAAGGAGAGCACACATTTAATCTTTTCTGTCTCTACTCAGCCCTTCTCGTTATCATTCACAGCTACTCCCTACCCCTATGACTGTCCCTCTTCCCCCTGCCCCCTTCTTCAAGAATGGCTTCCCAAACCCACCTCCGGCAGCTCTGCATTGAACTGTGTGAACTGGGACTCGAACTGTGTGAACTCCTGGTTCATTGGTCAATGCTCAACCACAGAGTCACCTCGGCCGGGCCAATTCGCTCTTTAGATCACCAGTTCCCACCCCAGCAAGGACACAGCTGCCCCGTCTGAAGCAGGTGGGGGCCCTGAAGCCTGCGCTCCTTCCTCTTGTCCACCGGGGCCATTTCCGAGGCACCTGAGGGTCTGCGACACACCGCGCGCGGAGCAGCACAGGTCCCTCCCGCGGAGCGCCACGACCCCTCACCATCTCGGCATGGCTCCTGCTCTGCCGTTCACTGTATGTTCTTGTCACCAACTCAGCATTGTCACTGAACAAGTTCGTCCTTAAAGCCAACTTTATAACATCATTGTAAATGGAAAAACAGTATCACTTTCCATAACTAGAAAGGCATAGACATACACATCACATTCACATCGTTTAGCATGTGTACATATACCCATACCAGGGGCCCAGCGCGCAGTTCGAAATCGGGCAGCACCACCCACCCTCCAGTTAGTAGCTGGTCTGGCCCTGCCTGGCTCTCCCGGCCCCACAGCAGCCACGGCCACTGCTGCTCTGGCCCTGCTTCCCTCTCCGGCCCTTGAAGCAGCCGCGGCCACTGCTGACCAGACCCTCACGTGGAGGCCCTGCCGCCCCGCCCCCAACGCTGCACACGCAACCTCCTCCTGTCTGGTTGACCCATTACCGTGTCCCGGTTTATTAGCATATTTCTCTAGTCTCTCTCTCTCTCCATATATATATATATATATATATATATATATATATATATATATATGGAGAGAGAGAGAGAGAGAGATAATATATCTCTCTAATATAATATATTATATATATTAGACAGTATATACATTTTATATAGACATATGTAAACTATGTGACACACACACACTGAAAACAAAACAATATTAATGTATCATTAACTTGCAAGGAGATATTTGCCTCCCAAAGCCCAGCAGCCAGCTCTCTGCTCAACCATGGTGGAACCCATGCCTAGGGTGGGGGCTGGGGTGTTTACACACCAACTCCTGCCAGCTGCTGACTGCGGGCTGCTGCTGCCTCTGGGTGGTGTGCGTTCCCTGGCACATCTGGCTTTCCTCGGTTCTGAGGACGTCCCCAGGCAGAGGGAGGCAGAAGCCGGCAGCTGGCAGTCAGGGGCACTGGTGTGGGGAGGCCCGGGGGCTGAGGCATGACCGCACGCAACCGCAACAGCTCCATTCTCCTCAGACACACGGAGAAGGGCTGCCTGCTCTCGTCACCGTGGTCTCTGCTGACACTCAAGTTCCGCCATTGTCACAACCTGCTTCTTGCCCATGGAGCATTCAGAACCCTTTGTTCTTGGGTCTGATTCCTTTTCTCCCATAAAACATCTACCCCCCGGTGCGGGAATATTTATACAACCAGAAAACAGTCTTGCTGAAAACTTGTCTCAGCTCTCCATGTCAGCACACTGGAAACCGGTCCTCACCAAACGTGAGAGGGCAAAGGCATTCCGCTCAGACAAATAGACGACATCCCTCTGAGCAAGCACATCATCCGACCATGAGGCCCTAGACAACTTCCAGACAGCCGTGGCCCCCACACCCCGCTCCCACTCGGAACTGTTCTACCATCGCCCCGTGTCTCTGCCTCTCCGGAGCCCCGCCGCCTGGGTGGATGGCATTTGTGCAATTCAGAGAGCGGCGCCTCGGCTGCATGAGTCAGCAGCCCGGCCTCTGACGCAGCTTCTGTGCTCCCGTTAAAAATAGGAAAGAGGATGTTTTGCCTAAGTCATCACCACTGTGCAGAACTGGTGGATTGACTCTCCCACACCCCCCCCCCCTTTTTTTTTCTTTCCAGTTTCCATATCCTGCCGCTTCACTGAAAACTGATAGAAACTCTGTCCCTGGATTTTTGGTCAAGACTCCTGCTTCTATGGCCTGGGCTCCCTGGCCCTGCTTGTCCCCGGGTTCCTTGGTTGGCGTCTTCACCCCCTGATGTGACAGTGCCGACTCTCAGCCCCAGGCTCAGGGCCTCTGCCCTGCTTCCCCCCACCCCCTCCCCCTCCCCTGGGGTCGCCAACTCCAGGGCCCACGGGGGCTTGTAGATCCTAAAACTTGTGCAGCTGGCCAGGTAGAAGGGGCTGCCCAGCCTGGGCATGAAATGGGGGGTGGGGGTGGGGGCAGCTTTTGCTCACTTTCTCACAGATCAGCTGACTTTTCCCCAAACAGCCAGACACGTAGGTGTTTATAGGAACTTGCCTACTCTTCACGTGTTAGTCAGAATGAATTCAGATATTCCCTTTGAAAAGTAGAACAAGACCAAGACACAATCCAGGTGTCTCCCTCCCGGGAATCAGCCCTCCCTCTGCCCTGCAGCTCGGACCCGGTGCCAGGGGCCTGGCAGGTCCCTTCCTGGCTGAGGAGCATCCCCACCGCCCTGCCATGATTTCAGCTGCTTCCCCATCCTCGGGGCGGGTCCTTCCGCCTGCCGGCAGGCCCCTCTGCCCGGACCGCGGAGTGCTCCTTCTGACCCCCTCCACGGCCTCTCGCTGGGCTTTCTCTGAACTTGCCCGGAGCGTCCAACTCATCTCACCCTCCTCCCGGGCCAGGGCACCTTCCCCACAGGCTCTTGGCCACCGTCCTAGCCTCGGCTGGCACGCCCGTCCCTGGCTCTGGCTTTTGTGTGTGTGACCTTCGATATGGATGGTACAGTGACTCACAGAAAACACATCATGGACTCTTCCCCAACCCCATGACTCAGCACATCGGCGAACCAAGCCCTCAGCTTCCTCCACGGGGGCCTGACAGCTCCCCAGCCCTGTCATCCTTGTCGAGGTCTCAGCTCTTTCTCTGTTTCTTGGCACCCTCCCCTCAAAAATGCCCTTCTGTTAGTACCACGATCTCATCGATCTATTTTAAAATCTCCGATGGCCTTTCTACGTTCTTTCATTCTGAATTTCCTGCCACAAATTAACTTTCCAGAGTAACCAACGTTTTGAGCATGACATTGATATAATCTTCTCCTCCTCATTATGTGCACATTGTTTTACTGTTCACAAGCTTCATTTGGTCCTTTTGCCAACGCAGCAAACAGGGTGGGCATTGCCGTTTTCATTTCACGGATTAAGGAACGGAGGTTCAGAGAGGCTGGGTGGCTCTCCCCAGGCCGCACAGCCGGGAGAAGCAACGGGTCTTCTTTCCACCCCAGGCTCCGGGCTCCCTGCCCGTGTCCTGTGCCCTGTGGTGCAGAAGGCACTGCCTTTTGGGCTTCAACCTTTGCCCATACCACGCCTCACTCCGACTCTGCCGGGCTTCCTTTTTTCCGGGAAAGCCAGGGGCCTTCAAAGAATTTCATTTCCCCCTTCTCAGTAGATCCAGGGGCATAATGATAGGACCCTACAGTTAAGATTCAAGAGGCTCCATTTTCCCTTCATGACCTACAAAAAAAAAAAAAAAAAAAAAAAGCCGAAACTGGTTTGGCTCAATGGATAAAGCATCGGTCTGCGAACTGAAAAGTCCCAGGTTCGATTCTGGTCAAGGGCATGTCCGTTGGTTGCGGGCACATCCCCAGTAGGGGGTGTGCAGGAGGCAGCTGGTCGATGTTTCCCTCTCATTGACATTTCTAGCTCTCTATCCCTCTTCCTTCCTCTCTGTGGACAATCAATAAAATATATATATTTTTTTTTTAAAGGAAAGGAAGGCTGCCGAGACCGGTTTGGCTCAATGGATAGAGCGTCGGCTTGGGGACTGAGGGACCCGGGTTCGATTCCGGTCAAGGGCATGTACCTTGGCTGCGGGCATATCCCCAGAAGGGGGTGTGCAAGAGGCAGCTGATCGATGACTCTCTCTCATCAATTTTTCTAGCTCTCTATCTCTCTCCCTTCCTCTCTGTACAAAATCAATAAAATATATTTTAAAATAAATAAAAGGAAAGGAAGGAAAAAAACCAAACACCCACAACCAGAAAAAGCCTTCATTCAGGACCTCCTGGAATCCCAGCGCTTCCTGCACCCCTCATTCTGCAGCCTGGGGTGCTCAGCTCTGTGGGGCGCAGTCCATGAGCCTGAGTCTGCGACAGCCCAGCTGGACTCTTCTCCACAGGACCGGGATGACAGGGATGACAGGAACCGGGGAGTGTGAGAGGCTGCGCTCACTGGCATCCTTCCCCGGGGCTGGCAGTGACGCAGGGGAATGGAGCTGGCGGCCAAACCTGTCATTTACCCACCGCGCACTCCTTCCAGCCCGGTGCTGGCTGCTTCCTGGGCGCCCCCTCCTCGGAACCTCGCCACAAGCTTCCGATGACGCTGCTACGGTCCCCATTTACCCAGGTGGCGCCCGAGGCTTAGAGGGGACAAGCCTCTGGTCTCTGGCCTCCTGGCTGGAGAATCCGAAGCCTGGCCCTTTATTTTTTTTAATTATTTTTTTAACATTTTTTTAATTAAATTATTATCTGTGTACATATCGAAGCCTGGCCCTTTATTTTTATTTTTATTTTTTTTTACATTTTTTTAATTAAATTATTATCTGTGTACATATCGAAGCCTGGCCCTTTATCCCGCTCTGGGAATGAGCTGTCTCTTTTACAGATGCTGTGTCTGGCATCTGACAGGCTTCACCCCAATGTCAGTGACTTGCCTCGGGTGTGCCTCACAATAGCCCTGCAGCTGACAAGACTGCCAGGATGTGATCACTTCCAGATGGGGACACTGCCGCTCAGAGAGGCTGAGTGACTTGCCCAAGGCCACACAGCTGGGAAGGAACAGAGGACAGTGGAGAGGATGGCTCTTGGGCAGGATCGTGGGAGCCCACTCAACACGCATCTAACTCTGTGGTCACGTCCCATGACCCTGAGCAAAGTCACTTCCCGGAGGTTCCCAGGCCCCGGGGTTTCAGGGTAAGGCATGGGCGGAGTGGGAAAGTGGGTGACTCCAGAGGCAGTAAAGACGGAGCATGGGGTGGGGGGAAATCCGTTATAACTACTCAGAATAACGAAACTGGTTCCATAACCAGCCAGCACTTTTCCACAGTGACTATTGCTGAGTCATAATCTCTAGCCTCTCTCAGTCCGTCTCTGATCATTGGAAGGACTTGGCTTTTTTTGTTTGTTTGTTTTTTTAATATATTTTCTTGATTTTTTTTTTATAGAGGAAGAGAGAGGGATAGAGGTTAGAAACATCGATGAGAGAGAATCATCGACCAGCTGCCTCTTGCACACCCCCTACTGGGGATGTGCCCGCAACCAATGTACATGCCCTTGCCTGGAATCGAACCTGGGACCTTTCAATCTGCAGGCCAATGCTCTATCCACTGGGCCAAACCGGCTTCAGCAAGGACTTGGCTTTTAAGCGGAGGGGCTGCAGCTGGCTCCCCACAGAGCGGCATTGCCCTAGGAGGCATTTGCTTTGCAGCTCTGCTCTCTCCACCTTCCCTTCAAATTCTCCCTCCACCTCAACTTCCGAGTCCCTCACCTTAGCCAACTTATTTGAAAATGGTTCTATGAGCCTATCCTTTTTGTTCTGTGTTGTTTTTTTTATTGTGATAAAATGTGCCGGTGTGGCCATTTTATTATTATTATTTTTTAATATATTTTATTGATCTTTTAACAGAGAGGAAGGGAGAGAGATAGAGAGCTAGAAACATCGATGAGAGAGCAACATTTACCAGCTGCCTCCTGCACACCCCCCACCGGGGGCGCGCCCGCAACCAATGTACATGCCCTTGACTGGAATCGAACCCGGGACCCTTCAGTCCGCAGACCGACTCTCTACCACTGAGCCAAACCGGTTTCGGCACCGGTGTGGCCATTTTAAAGAGGCGTTTCATAAATTCACCGTGCGGTGCGGCTGTCGCCACTCTCCAATTTCCCAGCATTCTTATCACCCCCCCAAACCAGTCCCCCTCTTTCCTCCCCTGGGCCCTGGCAGCCACTCATCTGCCGTTTGTCTCGGCGGATTTACTGACTCGGGACGTTTCCTCCAAACAGAAGCACACCGTCTGTGGTTTCTGTGTCTGGCTGCCTTTACCTGACATTTGGTTTGCTTCCATGTGTTTGCTGTGATGACTCACGCTATTCTGAGCATCTGTGAACACCTACCGTCCATTGGGTGACCTGGGAATAGAACTGGCAGGTCCTGGGATGATTCCATTAGCCTTCTGAGGACCTGCAACTGTCTCTCACAGCTGTGCCTGCTCTGGGCCTGGCCTCTGGGAGGCGCTGGAGATATAAAGATGAAGAAGACATGGCATCTGAGGGGAGGAATTCAGAGCCCAGGGAGGGGGACTGGCATGCGGCAGGGGCCATCCCAGGGGGGTGTGACCGATAGCTTCGTTTGCTCAAACTCGGCCCTGTCGGAGGCCCCGTGTACCAGCGGCGATCCGGAAAAAGATATGAACCGCTTAAGTCACGCTCTCCTGTGGCCTTACATTGTTCATTAGACTACGTTTCTGCAAAATATTTGCGACAAAGCCTCATAAAAGCACTAATGAGATCCTCATAATCATTTCAGATGACGCCGTTAGCGCAGAATCCTATAGCTGCTTCGTCCTCCCAAGCAGACCTACCCAACGGCTAGCGAATCTGAATTCTTCATGGAGAGCATCCTTACACCGAATGCTCCACCACATCTGTATCCGTTTCTGTCGAGAATGCTTACTAACATCTTCTATACCAATCTATTATAGGAGCTTAGCAGGAACTCCCCCACCTCCTCCTCTTTAACAATGAAGTATTGCGGAAACCGGTGTGGCTCAGTGGATAGAGCGTCGGCCTGCGGACTGAAAGGTTCGATTCCGGCCAAGGGCATGTGCCTTGGTTGCGGGCATGTCCCCAGTCGGGGGAGGTGTGGGAGGCAGCTGGTCAATGTTTCTCTTTCGTCGGTGTTTCTGGCTCTCTATCCCTCTCCCTTCCTCTTCTCCCTGTAAAAAATCAATAAAATATATTTTAAAAAAATAAATAAATAAAAATAAAAATGAAGTATCCATTGAATGCCAGTCCATTACCCAGCCCCTCAGCTACCTGCTGGGGGAACAATAGGGAACCAGGCAGGCCCTGCCCTGCGAGCTGTCTGTCCAGGGAGGAGACAGACAGGAAAGCGGGTCATGGTTATGCAATGAGATGATGGTGCTGGGAGCCGGGTTGGCTGGGCCCTGCTATGGAGAACATAAAAGTGGGACACCCGGCCTGTAGGAGCCAGGGAAGCCTCAGAGAGGGGGTGACATTTCAGCTGAATACTAAAGGATGAGTGAGAAGTGGCTTCTACATAAGAAAGCAACTGAATTACTTTTTTCCTTGAGGATTCAGCCATGTCCTTGCAGTGTTTCTATTGTCAACCAAAGCAGAGAAAAGGAATCAAGTATTTTAAGGTATTTCATTCCCAAGGGAAAAAGAGCCATGGTTCTCCCTGAGGTGTTCAGTGTCCTTTCTCCCGTGTGCTCAGGACAAAATACAGCTGAGGAGCTGGATTCCTACTACCCTATTCCTAGTCCCCTTTGTCCAATGTGCCCATGTACCCTGACCTCATCAGTGAGTGTGTCAGGGGCAGATGGGCCTGCAATGAGAGCATAATTGCCCTGAGTTTTCCCTGATCCACATGTTTAAAGCAATCCCTCTAGCTTGGCCAGTGTGGCTCAGTGGTTGAACATCAACCTATGAACCAGGAGGTCACAGGTCAATTCCGGGTCAGGGCACATGCCTGGGATGCAGGCTTCATTCCCCCAGTGTGGGGTGTGCAGGGGGCAGCTGATGAATGATTCTCTCTCATCATTGATGTTCCTATTTCTCGTTCCCTCTTCCTTCCGCTCTGAGATCAATAGAAATATACTTTTAAAAATAAAAATAAATACATAATCCCTCTTGACCAGCTCACTTGGCTCCTGGGAGAACAATACAGCTCAGCTTCTCTGCACACTCAGAAGGTCCCAGTGCAGACCAGGGAGCAGAGGGGGAGACAGGGCATCGTTGGGCCATTCTGATTCCGCCGAATTCTCTCAGACCCGGCCTCCGTCAGTGTGAACGGATCCTTGACCTTGGGGTTATCCTCCTGTTGAGTATCTAGGTTGATGACGCGGTGTTTGCTGAGGGACTTGATTCCCAGGCGTTGCTGAAGCAAAGTCACACAGGAAATCATGCATCTGGATCAAAACGAACCTCCCAGCGTCCCCAGGCGACGAGTCAGGAACGGACACACACACCGCAGACCACGGATAGAGAATGAAGATCTAAGTGCTTATTCGTGACAACAGAAGGCAAGATCACAGTTCGCCATTTTTAAACAAATGCCTCCATTGGAAAAAAAGAAAAAAAGAAGGAAAAAAAAACTTGAAACACAAAAAAGGGATCTTTTGAAATCCGCAGGAAGAAATCTGGTACAAGCAACGATGACATTTTGAAGTATCATCAGTGAGTTTTCACACAGACTTTCCATCACAATAACACTCATTTATGTCTTCCATCTCACACAGCGGTGAAGTCACAGGGAGAGCCGCCGGGATTGCTCCTGAGAGGAAACCAGAGGGGCCCGGAGCGGTCATCCTTCCAAAGGGAGGAGCCGGCTTCTCCGAGGCTGACGGCGGTCAGCGGTGACGGGAGCAGCAGCATCTGTTCCTCTGGCTCCGCTTTTGAACCGAGTGAAAGGAGCTCGGCATAACGGTCCCTCTCACAAACAGACCGGAGCTCAGGCCTAACCCTCCAGAAACGCCGTAATAAAAAGAAGCACCAGCTCTGCTTCCACCAAGGCTGCAAAAGCAGGTCACAGCGCTCAATGCGATATCTTCCTCCTGCTAAACCTTCCTCCAGATGACTGACACCGTCTTCCTGGATGGCCGGGACAATTTCAATAGGTGGGGAGGGACAAAAAGGCTGGCGACATTGCACTGGGAAAGACTCAGGGCCTCAGTAATGCGATCGCAGCCCAGAGCGCACAAAGCCATGTTGCTCAGGTCACGGGTTTGGTGGAAGAAGGCACAGGTTATCGTCATGTGCAAACGTGCAGGCTAACCGGGGGGTATAACGCTCCTCCTCTGACAAAGTGTCCCCAGTGGACACAAACATCTACCCATCATGTCAACCTTTTATGGAAGAGTTTTGCAGATTGCGCTGTTCTGAGACATCTGAAAATGTATTACCAGTTTTAACAAGTTAGTCTCGTGAAATTGCGAAACTGAGAAGACAATGTAGACTTCATGAAGTCGGTGGAAGATATGTTAGAGAGATGCGTAAGTCACAGCAAAGCCAATGGTAGATAGATAGCTGGCTTTGAAAGATCAGAAAACTACTAAAAAGAGAAAGGGGGGTGGGGGGAAGGAAGGAAGGAAGGGAGGGAGGGAGGGAGGGAGGGAGGGAGGGAGGGAGGGAGGGAGAGAGAGAGAGAGAGAGAGAGAGAGAGAGAGAGAGAGAGAGAGAGAAAGAAAGAAAATGTGCAAAGTACTTTAAAAAAGAAAGTTCTGGATGTCAAAATACTAAGAGAATAATTGATGAAGCACTAAAATTTTTTTTTCAAAAATGACCATATTTATAATATTATTCCAAAAATTACATGTGAAATCAAATATATCAAATACTATCAAATAATTTTCCTGAAAAATTATATCCTGCAAAGCCACGTGATTCATTTTTCATTCACTTTACGTCCTAGGATATATTTGCCTTCACAATATGAAGATTTATCTTTCCAGATAAAGTCTTAGATAATAAATTTCGACCATGAACTTGTCCTCCCTGTTTGAAGTGGTGCCAACGTTCCTCAATGACAGGTCTATTGTGTCACGGGTTATGGTGCTTCTTGCTCACGTTTGATCCTCCATGGCTCTGGTGACGACTTCCCAAGGTCTCAGAGAATAAATCTCTAGCTGGCCCAAAGCCTCTTTCAATCCGGGGGCTTATCGCAGTGTTCTGCGTCAAGAGGTCTGTTATTCTTCCCGTGGCTAAACTGTCCCTGAGCCTCATGTCCCTTTGATGCCTTTGACCTTGACCATGAACTCTTCACATGGTTATGAAGAGAGAGATGCTAATGGCATCTGCTGTCAGGCTGGAATACTTCCCTTGGCCACCGTCCCTTCCCAGCAGCACTCGTGAGGGGAGGTTTGTGTCCTGGTCCCAGCGGCGGGGTCTTTTGTGTCTATTCCAGAAGGACTACGTCTCCCTGATAGGGTTCGCGCTCCACGAGGGTAGGTGTGCAAGTCTGAAAAACAAAAACAAAAAAAGCCAACGCGTTTCATTTCTCTCTTCTGACTTGTTTACTGACTTCTTTTTAAAAAACATATATACTTTATTAAATTTTTACAGAGAGGAAGGGAAAGGGATAGAGAGCCAGAAACATCGATGAGAGAGAAACATCAATCAGCTGCCTCTTGCACACCCCCTACTGGGGATGTGCCCGCAACCAAGGTACATGCCCTTGACGGGAATCAAACCCGGGACCCTTCAGTCCACAGGCCGATGCTCTATCCACTGAGCCACACCGGTTTCAGCCATTATTGACTTCTTGAATTCAGAGCTAAGGACAGCTCCCTTAACAAATTGTTAGACCAGAAAGAAATCTCATGAACTTATCATGTGTCTCCCAACCCCTGTCCTTTCACAGCAATGCCCGGCAGCCTCCTGCATCTGTGTCGCCCCCTCTTGGCCGGCGTTAACCTGTGTCAGACAAAGGCCCAGGGAGCACTCTGTAGTGATCATTCTTCCACTGCAGCTTTCCCCGGGGCTGTATCCTCTCACCCTTCTGAGTTCTAGTCCCAGCTTGTCCTTTCCGTCGTTCTTGACATCAGCATTCCTCTCCTTAGACTCTCAACATTTTGGTTCAGATTCTAGCAATTTTAATGTGTCTTTTTTTTTTCTCTCTCTCTCCTCATTTTCCCAATCATCACTGTGTGTAACAGGCCTCCCACAGAATCTCACATCTCCAGCGACCGACTGCGTAGCAGAACCCTGGCTGGGCCAGCTAGAATTCACTCAGAGTTGAAGCCTGGGCTTCATAAGCACTGGAGCTCCTGAGCAGCGACCAAACCATACTGTTGCTAAACACGCAAACAAATTCACCGACAAGTCGAGAAGGAGCAAATCCCCGTGATCGAGGGCGTGGGCTCGGAACCAGACCGCCTGGGCGCATGCCTCCAGGCTGCGCTCCAGGGCCCTGAGTAGTAAACTGGGGGTGATGAGAGCACCCACTCCATAGGGTGGCTGTGAGGATTCCGAGTGGAGGGAATTAAATACAGATAGTGGTTAGAATAAGGCCTGTGATAGGATAGGCTCTTCACAACTAAACACGTGTGTTTGTACATGTAAGTCTAATGGAGGTAAGCCACAACAAATTCCTGCAGGTCTTACTTTGACCACCCAAACTAGTATGTTGTAGGGATTGATACTGTGAGCTTTGGATCAGGACAGACCTAAGTTTGAATTCTAGCCTTGCCATTCACTAGCTGTAAGAAACTGGCAGGCTAATAAATCCCTCCTTCCCCTCCCCTCTCTTCGCCACCCTTCCCCCCCCCCCCCCCCCAGCCTACTCACTCATCTATGAAATGGAGGGAATAAAACCCCTCTCCCAGATGCATGAGATTTCTCAGATACAAAGCACTTCCCTCACTAATCAATAGGTATTCAATGCACATACACAGCCCCAGGCATAGAGGATAAAGCAAAGAAAAAGGCCGAGATCATCTCTACAGCTGTGAACCCTGACAGGTAATGCTGCACGCACTGCCACCACTCCCACTCTGTGGGAGGACCCCAGTCTGAGCCCTGTCCCCTTTCTGTGCTGTGGGACCTCCATGTTGGCTCCCTGCTGACTCAGGGCTTCTCTTCAGCTTGGATCCTGTCATCACCTTGAGGGCACTGACAAGGGAAAGGAAGGCCAGCCTTCCATTTCTGCTCCCCAGCGCCTGGACACTGTGGTCACTGGGAGCCCAGCCAATCCCAAAACTTGAAATGCATTGAGTGCCCCACTCTCTGTCCACATCCTCCCTTTCCGGGCTTTGGTATCTGTGTTTTTCTCTCCTGGTTCGTTTTTCAAGCCTGACTGCATGGACATAAAATTTTTCATCCAAACCTGCTAACAATGTGGATTAACTGTTAAATGGTTAACAATAAGGATTAATAGTTAACCGGTTAATGATGCATATTAAGTATTAACCGGTTAATAATGTGGATTATCTTTAACCAGTTACCAATGTGGATTGAGTATTAACTGGCTAGTAGTGCAGACTGACTATTAACTGGTTAATAATGCGGATTGACTATTAATCTTTAATAATACAAATTTTGTAATCCAAAGAAAACATGGTAATTTCAAGAGAAACATCAAAAGTGCTTTATTCAAAGTAATGTCCACCGCTAGCTACACATTTCCCCGTCTTTCAGGTAATTTGTGGATAGGTCCCAATAGAACTTTTCTTATTTTTAGGCAAACCGTTCAGAGACCCAATTTTCCACTTCTTCATACATTTTGCAGTGCTGCTCAGAAAGTGCGTGTGGCATCAATCTGAACAAGTGGTCATCTGAAGGAGCAAGGTCTGGTGAATACAGCGGGTGGGTTAATACTTCCCAGGCAAGATCTTTTAATGTATCTTTAACTGGTTTTGAAGTGTGTGATGGTACGTCATCATCAAGAAAAATTACTTTTTCGTGTCTTCTGACCCATTCTGGTCATGTTACGATCAAAGCGTGGTTCAAATGGATTATTTGTCATTGGTAGTGGCCATTATTAATGCTTTCATCTGGTTTCAGAGGCTCATAATGCACCACACCTTCCTGATCCCACCAAACGCAGAGCATTGTCTTCTTTCTGAAGTGATTTGGCCATGCAGTCGATGTTGATGGTTGACCTGGATCAACCCATGATTTTGTGCGTTTGGGGTCTTTATTGCCAGTCACAATTCTATGCAAAAAGGACTTTCTTTTGTGCCGTTGAAGCAACATTTTACTGATGACTTTTTGGTTTTCCATTTGTCTCTCTTTCAGTTGATGTGGCACCCATTTTCCTTCCTTTAAAATCTTTCCCATTGCTTGTAAATGATCAAAAATTGTTTGCTGAGCAATGGTTAATCTTTCTGCAGGTTGTTTTTGAGTTTGACATGCATCTTCATCCAATAATGCTTGTAATGGTTGGTCTTCAAACTTTTTCGGTTGACCTGGTCGTTCTTCGTCTTTCACATCAAAATCATCACTTGTAAAGGGTTTAAACCAGCATTCATAAGTATCTTGAGATGGAGAATGTTCACTATAAGCTTTCGGAAGTATGTGATAACTTTCAGCAGCACTTTTATTCCAAATAAATTAATGAATTAAAACTTTCCGAAAGTGATCTTTTTATTGGCATGAAGTTTGACATTTTTGAGCTTGAAAATATCTATGATTTTAACACCTTTAGAACATTTGACCTATGAAATGTTGAAGCTTGTTGTCAGTACAACAAAATAGCATACATATCCAATGGCATACATATATCTACGTATGTGTAGCGCCATCTACTGGAAAAATCGTATTATTCATCGGTCCACCTAGTATGCTGCTGCCCTCAGGGAACTAACACTCTAGCCAGGAGACCAGCCAAGTTCTGGACCGGCAAACACCGGAGTCTGTGCTTGGTAGTCTGGGATGGTAAGTGATTAATATTCTTCAGAAGAAAACAGGTGAACAGGAAAAAATGTTATGAGCTGTTCTGCTTGCTTTCAAACACATGTATCCTCATTCACCAGGAAATCTGAATATTTTCCATGGGAACCAAAGCAAGAGCTCAAATACCCTCATGTGAATTTAAAATAAAGAATTTCTAATGACTATATTTTTTCTTAATCTTAATGTTATATTTTCTTCTACCTATAAAATTATCTTTGCCTAATGAAGAGAAAAATGTCTTCAGACAATACTCAAATCTCATTTCACCCTTTTTTTATACTAGTTCCACACCAACATTATATTTTTTTAAAATACATTTTATTGATTTTTTACAGAGAGGAAGAAAAAAGGATAAAGAGTAAAAAACATTGATGAGAGAGAAACATCAATCAGCTGCCTCTTGCACACCCCCCATTGGGGATGTGCCCGCAACCAAGGTACATGCCCTTAACCAGAATCGAACCTGGGACCCTTCAGTCCGCAGGCCAACGCTCTATCCACTGAGCCAAACCAGTTTTGGCCACACCAACGTTTTAAAAAAACAATGAATTTCCCCATGTTTTGAGTTTCACAATAATTTTCTCCTCTTGCTTAACAGAGTTCTCATGATATAGTGGGAATGAAAAGGGCCCTCCCATAAATCTCAACTCATATGGTTACTTAGTGCTTAGCCCCGGGAACAATGTTTTATCTTGCTGAGACTCAGATTTCTATGTAAGATGGGGATATTAATATCTACTCACGGGTTGCTGTACAGAGTAAGTAAAATAATGAATATAAACTACCTAATACAGTGCCTGGAAGATAGCAAGTGCTCAGAGCAAGAGACGGTAATAATGATGAACTATTGTTGTTATTGCAAAACCATTAATGCACTAGCATGCCTAAAAAAATGTAAATCTACCTGACCCCAAACTCCACCATTGCTCTGGTGATCTGACACTCAACTCCAGGGAGCAAAATTTTCCAAGGGGCCGTTGCTAAACTTTAAACTCCATTCATTCCCTTGTTTGAATGGAGGCCACGCCTCCCACAGTTTCTCCGAGTCATTGACATCATGCCATGTAGCTGATTGACAAGAGACTTAGTTCAGTCGCTGCCTGAAGACCTTGCTCAGTCTGTCTCAGACTGTATGGCAGTCTAGGATGCTTGTGCCCCTTTAACTCTCCTTAGTTCTCTCACTGGATTCAAACTTGAGTTATAGTCGGAGGCTCTCCCAGACTTTCCTGGCTCCCTCCCGCATTCGCTCACAAGTGTCTTCCCTAATAAAAAAAAAAGTCAGACCTGCCGAAACCGGTTTGGCTCAGTGGATAGAGTGTCAGCCTGCAGACTGAAAGATTCCAGGGTTGATTCCGGTGAAGGGCATGTACCTTGGTTGTGGGCACATCCCTGGTGGTGGGTGTGCAGGAGGCAGCTGATCGATGATTCTCTCTCATCGATGTTTCTAACCCTCTATCCCTCTCCCTCCTCTCTGTAAAAAATCAATAAAATAAAATAATTTTTTTTAAAAAAGTCAGACCTTTATTCATGGGAGTCTGCTTCTGAGAATACCCTGACTAACCCAAATGCCAAAGGCCCCCGGAGGTCCTGAACTTGCCTGGGAAACCTTTTGACGTGGTCCATCAGGAATCCCTGAGTAGACACCAAACCCTAAGGGAAAATGCAACCATCCCATAATGACTCCTTCTTTGAAAATTGGTATTTGTTTGGAACCTCTCCTATCAGTTCTGATGTCCCAGGGATGTATGAAATTGAGTGTATGTGACAACACCAACACCAACACCCAGGAGCGGGTGACAGCCCCGCCCCGGGGGGTAACAGCCACTCGGGCACACTCACCTGGTCCCGCTGCTTGACCCTCCCGTAAACATATTCAGCAAATGGCTTGCGAGGAATATACTTCCCGTCTCCTGGTGCGACATGGAAAACTCCAGCTTCATACACCACTTTGCCCCTGGAGATGGTCACCAGGGGCACCCCGTGGCAAACCATGCCCTCAAAGATGTTGAAGTTCACAGCCTGGTGGTGAGTTTTTGCCGAGATAGTCCTGTTTGTAAAAAAAAACACACAAAAAAAAAAACAGAGAAGCCCCAGCTCATCACCAGCTCATCTGGCGAATATAAAATATTAAAAGGATGACTTACGAGAAAATTTAGCAACTCTATTAGGACATAGCTTTGTCACTGGGACAAGTGACTTCAAGAATAGAACATAGCATTAACATTTCATGCAAAGTAATTACATTTTTCTGAGTGAAAAACCCAATACCTCATGCTTTATGGTGACTAATGAGGACAGAGTGGGTGGAGGGAAGGTGCTGACTCTCACATTTAAATTTTAAAATTAGTATTTATGTGTTTAAAGGACAAAGTATTAATTAAGAGACATTTCCAACACTGATGAGTCTGATGCACACACTGACCCCACACCCAGACGCTGGTAAGACTGCGCAGTACCTTTCCCCAAATACCATTCCTCCGCCCTCCCCCTTCCAGAGGTACTGCTCATTGGTAGTTATCAAATGGAATCTGATATATACTTATCAAGGCAAAAATCATAGCTTGAATCTCTTTCCCTTGTCTGAGGCAAAACTGGAAAATGAAAGATGATAAAAATAACAAAATACGGCCTGGCCAGTGTGGCCCAGTGGTTGAGCGTCCACTTAAGAACCAGGAGGTCACAGTTCAATTCCTTAAGGCACATGCCTGGGCTGTGGATAGATGTAGGGGGTGTGCAGGAGGCAGCCGACCGATAGATGTTTCTCTCTCTCTCTCCCTCCTCCTTCCCCTTTCTCTAAAAATCAATAAAAACATATTTTAAAAAACACACACAGAGCAGCTCCTGTCGTGGGCAGCCCCGGGCTATGCTGGCCTCTGGCCTGGGAGACTCCCAGGGCCTCCAGAGAGCCTGTTTCTGCCTAAGTGACAGCCAGCTGGTCACTTGTAGTCAAAGACCCTGACTGACAATGACTTTGCTCTTGGAGAGTAGTAACGCCCATGCATGTCTCTGAGGCAGAGTTCAAAAGGTCTGACTCAAAACACACACACACACAGAAAATCACACACACAACACAAAACAAACCTAAAAGCTGTTTTCAACCAACTCTGTCTGCAGAACAGGTGCGAATGAGGAGGGGTGCTCTGATTTCATTGGTAAGCAAAACCCAAGAGCTGTGAGATTCCCTATCCAATAGTTTTCAAAGTTAACACTATGCAAGTCACTCCAGGAGAGTAGCATTTATATATATATATATATATATATATATATATATATATATATATATATATATATGAAATACCTTCTCTCCAATTATCTTTTTCTAAATTTATATATTAGGCAATTTATTTATTTTTCCCCTTTTAAATAAAACGTGTTGGGTGGCATTGGTTAATACGATCTCATAGGTTTCAGGTGTGGGTTTCTATGTTACAGGATCTGTAGATTGGACCATGTGGCCACCCCTCACAGTCAAACCTTCTCCCGTCACCATATATTAGAACGTCTTTCACCTCCCACCCCCTTCCCTCCGGCGACCACCACATTGCGTGCGGTTTGTGTTCATGAGTTTCCAGTGATATCATACGGTTCTGAGCTTTTTTTTCTGACTTTTTCTCTCTTCCTCGTCCCTCCTCTCTGAAGTCAATCTCTCTCTCTCTCTCTCTATCTTCTCTCTCTACATTGTGATCGGATGGCTAGGCCTGTCCTGGTGAGACAGGAGGGAAAGGACTGATTAAAACCTTCTCCTCTGGGGGTGAGGCTGGCGTTCTGGGCCACTGGCTCTTCATGAGCACCTTCACAGGGAGGATGTCCTCTGTGGTCACTCTGCCCCAGGGAGCCTGTATCGATCGGCGCATCTCTCCGCAGAGGGTGTCAAGGTTGTCTCACTGAGTCCCAAGTACACGCATATCCAAGGCTCAAGCTGTCAGGAAGCAGGAGCCCCGAAGATAACAGGAAGCTAGTTTCCAACAGAGTCCATCACTCTGATACCACTCACATCACAGCTGCAGGGGAAACACATCCCGCTCCTTGGCAAATAGCTTTCCGTCCAAGAGCCGCGTGCTCTCACAGAGGAGAAGACTCGCCGAAGCGAGGCCCGAGAGAGACAGCACGGCCGCCCACGCGCACCCAGGGAGAACACAGGGCGGGAGGAGGGTGTCTGAGAGCAGCGTGGGTCTTCCCGACCCCGGGGAAATGATGTGTTTAAGGATTTTGTTATGTTTTCTCCAGCTCGGCCAATCTGTCCGCGGCACAGCTGGATTCTTTTTTTATTTTTTTATTTTTTTTTATTTTACTGAATTTTTTACAGAGAGGAAGGGAGAGGGATAGAGAGTTAGAAACATCAGCAAGAGAGAATCATCGATCAGCTGCCTCCTGCGCACCCCCTACTGGGGATGTGCCCGCAACCACCATACATGCCCTTGACCGGAATCAAACCTGGGACCCTTCAGTCCGCAGGCCGATGCTCTATCCACTGAGCCAAACCGGTTTCGGCCACAGCTAGGTTCTTATCAGGTTGTCATGAGAACAACAAAAATAAGTGAGAAGGATTATGTCAGGGCTATTCGTGGCATCTTTAGAAATAGAACCCATCTCTCTGCATTGTATTATAAGACACCTTGTGTTCAACGCAAAAGAAAAATAATCATTAAGTCTTCCCAACCACCCTATGGGGTAGGACCTATTACTATTCCTGTGATATAGATGAGGATGACAAGACACCAAAACATTACTAACTCACCCCATGTTTCAGAGCTAATATATTCACGTCACTCAGGGGTTAACCACTAGACAATATCACCGCATAAAAGCTCTGGAGGAAGCTACCAGGAAAGCATTCAATCCATGGAAACATTCTTCACCCGCCAGAAAACACACAGACGACAGCTCGTCCCCTAGTTCCTGAGGTTTCCTAGGCTGTTTTTCTGTTTAGCAGTGAGGGGTGTAGGGCTGTTATTAAAAATTCCTTAAATCAAAATTGGTCATTCTCAGCATGATCACAAGAGAAGAGATTTCTTTTGACGTGTGCTCCAGCTGTCTATTTCAAACCATCCCTCTTGTCATTTCTTGGACGTGACACGTTATATAAATGGGGGAGCAAAGCAGCCACATCTCCGGAAATGCTAAAGGGTGCTTCTTCAAGCACACTGTCATTACTAAGCAAAGTTGCTACTCACTGCACCCATCAATCTTCTGCCCTCTGTGCTGACTCCACCCCACCTCCTCCCACAGAAGAGAAAATGGGAGCTGCGTCAGCCATGTCCGTGAATCTACAGCAGACAACAATGCGGGAGCTCTACTGGTGCTCAGGGTATGACAAGACACTTAACGCAGGTTCATCAAAAGGCTGCCCAAACATTGACTTCAAGGAATTAACTAACCAGGTAACCCTGCTGTTTTGTCCTTGGAGCTGTGTCATGTAGGTCATGGGTGGTGGTGCAGCTTATGGTTAGTTAACCTTGGAAGTAGGTACCACCGTCTTTATATCCTGTTCCTCACACAGCACTGAGCAAATAGAAGGCATTTTATATACACACTAGAGGCCCGATGCATGAAATTCGTGCAAGAGTAGGCCTTCCTTCTCCAAGCTGCCGGTACTGGTTTCCCTGTAGCACTGGGACCCAGGCTTCCATCACAGCCCCGGCTTCATCTGGAAGGTCATCTGGAAGGACGTCCAGTCTAATTAGATATTATGCTTTTATTACTCTAGGTTTTCTAGACTAGAGGCCAGGAGCATGACATTCGTGCATGGGTAGGGTCTGTAGGCCTGGCAGGCGATCATGGGTAATCAGGTTCCCCGCCCCCCCGCCCCCCCACCTCCTCCTTCCCTCGCTCCCTCAGCACCCCGCCACCACTGATTGCCCACCATGTTCCTCATCACCCCCTCAGGGTCAGTGCACGTCACAGAGAGCAATCAAACTCCCGTTCTCCCAGTCAAACTCCCGAGGGGACACTTTGCATATTAGCCTTTTATATATATAGATTTGTTTCTTTGAAACTAAGTTATGAGTAAGTTTCTGAATTCCTACTTCACATAAATATTGCATATAGTTTTCAGAAAGTGGGGAACCAAAAAATATAGTTTTCAGAAAGTGGGGAACCAAAAAATCATTTAGCGTCTTGCAGGAGCAAGAACTGAATATGAATCAGCAAAAGCTAGCACGACACCAGGATGTAGGTCCTATGAATGTAAAACACGTATGTGCTTGTAGGTGAGGAAGGATTATTAGCTTTCAGAAGGCGAGCTGTTAGCCGGCCATACTGATAGAATTCACTTTGTAGTGAGGATTCACTTTCTGGAGTAGAGTGTGGGCTTGGTTTTGCAATAATTATACTGTTCCCTTCCCTGGGAAGCTGCCTTGCCCGTGGCAACATGACACTGTTTGACAGACTATCTGTGGGAGCGACTTGGGCAGAAAGAGATGTCAGTTTTCTGACCAGAAATACCGTGGGTCAGTGCCCTGAGAGTTCAGAGAGGCCAGGGACTTATCACGTTCAGTTCCGATGTCATATTTTAAGAAGAGAAAGGAATGACTGAAATATGAAGGGAAGTCCAAAGGATTCTCAACGAATGGGATGGGGTGAGAAAAGGAAGTTAGATATCAGAAATATTTAGGGGACTTTTAACTTGCCTCTTTTTTTTTTTTTTCTTTTTTTTTTTTTTAAAGAAGATGACCTATTTTTCCTCCATCCCCACTGAGGGGGAAGAAAAAGAGGCAATGAGCAGAAATGCTGGCAGGTGATATGCCGTTTGACACTGGAAAAAAACTTCCTGACGAGCAGGGAGTGGGTGTGTGCGTGAAGGAGACGCGAAGACCGTGGCCAGGAGAGAGGACCAGGCTTGCAGACCGCTGCAGATCTGTGGGCCCTCCAGAGATGGGCCGAAGCACCTGTCCAAAGTCGGAACTCCCAGCTCTGGAATCCTAAGAGCAGACGCTGGCCTCCACCCGCAGCCTCAGGGACCCTCCCTGCTCAAAGGCTGAGCGACCTGTGGGTGTCGGGCAGCACAAGGGTCCCCAGACGTGGGATTCGAATAGCAATGATCTCCTGGAAAGACGGAATCTGGGCCAGCGCTGGGGGACAGCCCATCCTCTACGTCAGCTGCGGCGCCCTGCACGGACCCCCCTGACCTGGAGCATGCGGGAGGTGCTGTCAGAGTTAGAAGCACAGCCCCGGAGCCCCAATTAGCGATGAAGATTATAGAGCCCCAGCCTGACAAGCCCCCACAGGCCTCTGCTTCAGGGAAGCCCTGCTGGTCACAGAGGCCCATGGTGGCCAGGGCTAACGGAGGAGTCACCCAGGATCCAAGGCGGTGATGCTGAAAAGCTGCAGGAGACCCACTCAGCTCCCCCACAAGCCCGCCTGGGGGCAGACTCGTCCCTGACAGAGGCAGCGAGCGGGGGTGGCACCCAGAGGTGCCCGACGAGCTGACGAGGGATCCGCCACCGGAGACAGGCGGGTGGCAGAAACCTGCTGACGTGAGCAAACTGGGGTGATGCTTGCCAACAGGTGCCCCGTGCCCTGGGCGCTGTGACCCAGCGTGCACACGTCTCCACAGCCTGGCCCTGACCCTGACCTTGCAGAGCAACCTTTGACCTTGGGAATTAGAATCCTGCCCGTTGACCAATGAGGAAATGGAGGCAAACCAAGGTAAACCGCCTTGTCCCGGGTTACGCTGTCAGTGAGGGGAGAGGCCGGAGCACAAAGCCAGGAGGTCTGGGTCCCCCCACGCCCTTGCCTCCTTCCCTGCCCTTTTGGGAGGCTGTCGCTTTGCAGGGTTTAAGAGATTAGACAATAGCTGAAGCCAGTGTGGCTCAGTGGATAGAGTGCCGGCCTGCACACTGAAGGGTCCCGGGTTTGATTCCGGTCAAGGGCATGTACCTTGGTTGTGGGCACATCCCTAGTGGGGGGTGTGCAGGAGGCAGCTTTTCGATGATTCTCTCTCATCGATTCTCTCTCCCTTCCTCTCTGTAAAAAATCAATAAAATGTATTAAAAAAGAGAGAGAGAGAAAGAGGGAGAGAGAGAGAGGGAGGGAGAGAGAGAGAGAGAGAGAGAGAGAGAGAGAGAGAGAGAGAGAGAGAGAGAGATTAGACAATAGAGTCAACCCGGCCTGCTCTGAATCGCAGCTCTGCCCTATCCAGCCATGGAATTTGGGGCGAACGACTAACCTCTCTGAATCTCAGTGTTGTCATCCTTAAAGTGGATCCCCACATGGTGATGGCATCTACTCCTTAGAGGGCGGAAGGAAAGGAGCAACCCATTGGCAGCTCAACTGGCCTGCAGGCTCATCCCCTGGTGTGAGGCGCCCTGGCCACCCCTGCTCTGCCTTCCCCTGCAGCGACAAAGAACAGGCACGGGCCCCCCTCCATCTCTGAGGGGCTCAAGTGGGGAGAGCAAGGACCAGGTGGAACCCCAAGCAGAAATAAGGCACCCCGTATTAAGGAGGTGCTTTAACGGGGAAACGGAATGCAAGGTAGGATGATTAGGGACAAAGACAGAACAGAAAAACTTTCAAAAAGAAGACGGTGCCAAGTACCCGTTGGTAGTTGAATTTAGGTCTTTACCGGAGGTCATACTTATCAGTATACATACCTTCTATGCAAAACCTTTCCCCTAAAAGAGTCAACCAGTGAGTCCGTTTTTAGACATAGTGTCATGTTTTCTTTTGTACTTTGTGTACAATTTATCCTCCTCGGTGCCAGAAAACATCCATGAGGTGCGGAGGGTCAGGACGTTTGCCGTGAACCCAGCAGTTAAAATACTGGACTAGTAAAAACAAAACAATAACTTGGGTCTTCCATTGCATTGCAGAGAGCCATGCTTGCGTCA